GGACAATTGCTAAGGAGAGAAAGGATCAGAATAAGGGGGATCTGTGACTGATCCTTTGTATGGGGTGATGGGGAAGGTGACTTCGGAGCAGAGATCCAAGGAAGTGAGAACCAAGTTATGTATACATATGAGGTAGTTCTCAGTGGGGGCTGGTTTTGTTCCCCAGGGGACATTTTCTGGTGTTGGGAGACTTTTTGGTCATCACAGCCTTAGGGGAGATGTAGTGTGTTAGTGACACGGAGAGAGGAGAGGGCAGAGATGCTGGTGAACATCTTACAGTGCACAGGACATCCTCCTGTGATGAAGAATCATCTGGTCCAAATGTCAGTAGTGCCGAGGTTGAGAAACTCTGCTCTAGGGGAAGAGAAGGAAGAGACAATCGTGGAAGACGCAGCATTAAGTTTAACATCCATTTTTCTTGCAGTTTTTTTTCTTTAATGAAAAATAAAATATTGCTCATTTTAACACTCTAGAAAACAACAAATGTGCAGTTCTCTTAACCTTTTCCTTTTCTTTCCCTCATAATTTTAGGAACAAACTCTAGCAACCACAGAAAGCAGAAGGGACAGCAATAACTCAAGCCCTGAGGTGGGGACAGGCTTGCAGTTTGAGGGACAGCAAGGAGCCGTGGGTTCCTAGAGAGGGGTGAGCAAGGGGGAGAGGGCAGAAGGATAGTGAGGGATGAGATCACGTGGGGCAGTGTAGAACCTGACAAACTAGTTTCTCTCTTTAGCTTTTCTCTCATTGAAGTGGGAGGCCGTGAAAGGGCCTGGGCAGAGACGTAGCCTGCTGCTGACGTCCTCTGGCTGCTGTGGAGAGCATGTACCGTGTACCATAGCTGGGGCACAGGTGTGGCAGTCTGGCTTCCTGCAGTCATCCAGGTGAAAGGTGGTGATGGGGCTAAGAGGGAGTGTGGTGCAGGTGATTACCAGATCAGGGGTATACGTGGAAGGTAGAGTCAACACTAAGTATGTAGGGTTTACAGAAGGGAAGGAGCAAAGTATAGACAGTCGTGGTGCTTGTCCCAAGTAACTGGAAGGAAGGTTGGCATTGACTGAGATGATACAGCAGGCAGGGGAAACCGAGGGTTGGTTTTTCAATGTCTCTTAAGTTTGAGTTGCCTGTTTAGCATCTCCATAGAGATACTGAAGTAAGTGAGTATATATGTACATGAGTATGGCGCTAAGGGAGAGGGCTGCTTGGAGATTGAGATTTGAGGGTGACTAGCAAACAGATTGTAGGTAAAATCAAGAGATAGGACGAGATCATCAAGGGAGAAACTGTAGTCCCAAAGATGAAAGCCTCCATGGAGTGGATTCAGGAGACAGTAGGGGAGGAATTGGAAAATCACAAATGTAGGGAACCCTGGACTTGGTTTTCTCAGAAGGGCCTGTAACTCTGGGAAGGGGAAATCTTGGGGCAAAATACCTTTGAAACCGAAATCAGTCAAAGGGAGAAATAAAGTTTAAAACATACATATTACTTTACAAGCAGTTCTCCTGTGTCTCTCTCTTTCCTGCTGCGGAAGAGGCAAGTGAATACTCCCCCACCCCCAACCTCTCCTGTCCAGATAAGCCCTCGCTTGCCCATGTAATACCCATTGATATGGACTGGACTACTTCTCTCCACCCCTTGAAAACACCTGTTGATATGGAGATGCACTAAAGCCAGGGGAGAGATTCTGGAAATATTGCAATTTTATTCACAGGCCACTCCTCCAGAAATCTTGCCTTACAATCTGCTCATTCCCCATCTTCTGCAATGTTCCTAGGGCAAGAAAACTGGAGCATTGTAACCAGACTAATGACATGCAATAGCAACTGCAATAAAATCATGATAATCCTCAAGATGGAAGATTCACCTGGGTTCAAAGTCCTATGCAGATTAAGTACATAGCTCACCCATTCCACAGGCAGGCAGTAGCTGAAGAGGTAGGGAGTTCAGAGCAATCATCACGTGGCAGCTGCAGCCAGGGGGCACATCCAAACCACAAGGACTGTTGAAGAAGATAACCTTAAGGGTGATAAGGTACATGTTTTAATGACACCAGCATAGGCAAATCTTCTCTATCAGGTAGGATGCATGCAGGAGAGTGGTCCTGTGATAGGACAGTGGCAGGAATAGGATCTCGTCCTGGTCAGGTATACCAGACTTTCACCCCCTCCCTGTGAGAGTTACAGATGGGTCAATTACAGGGCTATGGGAGGTATGTGCACTGGCCATAAAGATAAAACAAAACTTCCTTGTAAGTAAAACAAAACTTCTTACCTCCTGGATGTTTTGGGTACACTACTGTGAACTTTGGGGGCAACTCTGCTGTTACTCCAGGAATACACACGGGGCCAGCTTTAGGCTTTTACCCCAAGGTGCCAGAAGGGCCAGCCATTGCTGGTCCATGCATCAAAATGTCCAGGGCGATGTTCACTCAACAGTATCTCCAGGGTTTAATGAAGTAGGTGGGCAGCAGGATGTTGCTCTGCTGGCCATATCCTGGCTTCAATAACTCCTCTTTGGTTTGTACATTCAGTTGTATAGGAGAGGCAGCAGTGTGTGTTAGCATGTCCACAGGGCTCAAGGCTCCTTTTCGAGGCTTCTCATTCAAACGCCGTAGCACTGTCCATAAGTGAACTGACCAGCCCTGTGGACTGTTGGTGTCCGACTTCAGGCCAGATTTCAACAAACTGTTGAACCTCTCTATCATGTTGCCTTGGTACATGAAATATGGTACATGAAATTTCCACTTTATTCCTAATTGCTGCACTTTATTCCTTATTTTGCACCTCTCCTATAGTTGTAGCCCATACTTCCTTCTGTGCCCTTATTGTTCAACCTCCCCCAGATCTGCTAAAGTATGAGTAGCTTCTCTTATGGGTTGCCCTATGTGGTGGGCAAGAGTAGTCACTAGGAACTGAAAGAGAGATGTGGGAGATGTATATAGCACCAGATTTCTCATTCCTGTGGTGAACAACTCCTCATCGGGGCCCTGGGCATCCATATTATAGATGAAATTTTTCATGCCCAATTCCCGCAGTATCTGTTAGAGCTCTACATACGTTTTCCAGCTAATGGGTAAATATAGTAAATCACCCTAATTAGGCCAGAGTGCCCTGATTGGAGCTGTCAGCCACTCCAGAAGTGTCTGATTCCCTGAGGCATGACAGGCACTTTGGAACCACTGCGGGAGGGAAGGGTGAGCCAGGGAAGATAGTCTACTCATTTCAGGACCCTATATAACAATGTTTTCCACCCCCATATCCCATAGATGTAAAAGCCGTGTAGGCAGAGATTCCTATGGTTTCTGCCTTTACCGCATGCCCATGTCCACCAGCTCATCCTGGGTATAGGGGCAGAGTATGGAGTGCTCCACAACTGGGGAGGGGGGCAGCTCATCCCCCTGAGAAGCCTGTGGTTATTTCATTTTTATTTTTGTAATTACAGCCGGTGGACCTTTAATACGGAGAGGCTGGTGCTTTGGGCAGTGGCCTCGGCAGTAGAGTGGCCCTTGACCCTGCCTCCTCATCTTCTCCCCCTGGCTTCTCTACCTTCTCTGGGAATGAAGGCACGACTCTTTCCTCCCCCTTCCCAACAACTTTCTGCAATGCGGCTTCTCCTGCTGCCTTCCCCCTCACTGCTGCTAAGGAATCTTCCAGGAGTGCAGCTTGCTTCTCAATAACTCTCTCTCTTTCTTAAGGGCATCCTATAGGTCATTGCCCAGCTCCTCCAGTCGATGCCAAAGTCTGTTTCCTTGATAACCCTTTACACTATCTTGAGGAAAAGAAACCCTATAATGCCAGCTGCTACACAGCCATTCAGGGCTTCTAAGTAGTCTTCTATCTCACGAAGGGCTAATTCTTGAGCTTCCCGTGTCCCCACCCTTCTAGAAGGTGCTTTACCCTAGACCAATTCCTGACTAGGGGCTTCCCAATTGGAAACCCCACAGGTAGAGGCTTCCTGGGTGAAGCTGCACCCTCTACCACTACAGCCACTGGGGCCTCTCCACATCCACAGTGGGGGTACCAGGCATCTCCCCACCATCTCTAGGAGCAGCCCACCCAAGGGTCACCCTGTGTAGGCAGGTTTCAGGTTTAGAGGGCCTTCTGATTACCACCAGATGTAACTCTGGGAAGGGCAAAATACCTTTGAAACTGAAATCAGTCAAAGGGAGAAATAAAGTTTAAAACCTATTGCTTACAAGCAGTTGTTGCACGTCTCTCTCTCTCTCTCTCTCTTACTGTGGTAGAAGTGAGCAAATACCGTCTCCAAACTGTCCAGTCCAGATAAGCCCTCGCTTGCCCATGTAATTACCCATTCATATGGTAATGGACTACTACTCTTTACCCCTTAGAAACACCTGTTGATATGGATACGCACTAAAGCCAGGCAAGAGATTCTGGAAATACTGCAGTTTTACCCACAGGGCCACAGAGAAGTTGGTGGAGATGCAGGGCCGAGGGAGGAAGTGGTAGTTTATGGTGGGGGTGGAGGGGTCAGTTGCAGATTTTTCTGTGATGATAGTGACCTGGTAAATAAGAGAGGTGTATGCAGGAGGTAGGGTCAGATACTTCCGGTGCATAGGCAAGGACCGCTCTTTGGAACATGTGCAGTTGGAATGTAGTAACTGGTGAGAAGAACCAGCAAATTGGGACACAGTTTGATATTAAGTGAAATAAAGGTTCAGAAGGAGAAGGAAGATAACTTTGTAGTCAAGTGGTCCTAAAACCTTTGCCAAGGAGAGCAAGGTGTGAGCTTGGCTTCAAAGAGGTTATATATATCAGGCAATAGGTTTAATTAATTTTATTTTGAGCTTTTCCTATGTTTCAAGTTCACTTTGCCTACCATATGCCAGGATTTCAACATGAAGTTTAAGGTCCATTTTTCTTGCAGTTTTTTTTTCTTTTGATGAGAAATAAAATATTGCTCACTTTAACAGTCTAAGGAACACCAAATATTCAGTTCTCTTTCCACAAAGTAACTTCCTTTTCTTTTCCTCCTAATTTCAGGAACAAACTCTAGCCCTTAGGAAAGAAGGTATTGGCATTGTTTTGGATTCTGAACTGCCTCATTTGATTGGCATTGATGATGACCTTCTGAGTACTGGAATCATCTTATATCACTTGAAGGTAGAAACTGCTTAAATAGAACATACAATTTTCAGTTTTCCCTTTAGACACTAGAAGGGTTTATTATAATAGTCTACATCCATGAGCACAGCCTTAAAGAATATGTTACAAATCCTTGGGCCCTTCGGGGATTTTCAACAGTTCATTGGGATTCTCTGGAGGTTTCCATGTTTAGGTAGTTCTAAAGCTAAAGGAAGAGCCATTCACATGCATTCTAATTTGTAGAATCAGTAAGAAAGGGAGGTAAGGAAAAGAAAGGCCGACAGACTGAGGAGGAAAACTTACAAGCACTTGGAACTGGGATTTGCCGTGTGTAGTTTCCTCTTCCCTAGTGTTACTTAGGAAGTTGTGTCTCCTACCTACATTACGGGGCTGGTCCCAATCTGTCTATTTATGTCAAGAGAACAGCATTTCCACATCAGTATCCGTGGTTGCCTCTGTAACCTTGACTTTGATACCTTCTCCGATCCATGGCTTAAAAGGAGAATGGTGTTGCTTTTGTGTTTTGCCTCTCCCATAAACTTTATCTTTCAAAATAGCCCCTGGCTACTGGAGGAGACACTTGCCCGAAGGAAGTCTGTGAGATTGCTGTCTGGGCCGGTCACTGATGCCTGAACAGGGGCCTAATCTTTGTAGAGCAGTAAGCCTCAGGAGTTGTGCTGTCATATTCTAGATGGCATGGGGGTTTGAAGGAGCCTCAGTGCACCCTAATTGCGCTGAGGCAGTGGCCTGCGTGGACAATGCTCAGTCCATCGGTCACCATGTTGCATGGGCTGTAATGAAAAATGTAGAGGAGACCATTCCTCATGCTCTTACTAACAGGTTTTACTCACTTTTCTTCCTAGGAAGGTCAGACATATGTTGGTAGAGAAGATGCTTCAACAGAACAAGATATTGGTGAGAATCTTTACTAATTTTCTCTTCCCAATGATTTTTACATTTAATGAAGAACTTCCTTTTGAATGACTTATATTGAAGTAATGGTACAAAAGAAAATTTTTCAAATACAGTGTTAATCAGTATTATTAACATGTATTTCTCTCATTAATCAGTATTATTAATATGTATTTCTCTCATTTTGAAGTCAGCTAAATGAGAAACACAGAAAAGTTACTTTAGTGAGTGAAATGGAACTGTGGACCCTTCCCTCCTCTACATTCTGTACCCTGTCATGACTTTCAGAGTCCAGTTATTTAAATCACCCTACTCAGCACAGAGACAATGATTGATGGAAATATGCCTGCAGACACAGATAAAGGATGTAAGACCCCTTAAAGGGAAAGATATAGACATTTACCTGCCCAAGGATGACAGTGGAAAGTAGGGCACAACATGGACAGCAGACACACATATAAAGGGATGACCCCTGGGTTTCCCAGCCTCCATCCCTGAGGCACCCCTGTGGCCAGTGGCTCAGCCCAGGCAGGGTGCAGTCTAGCCAGGTTTCAAGCAGGACTTAGGAAATTCGCGGTGGTGGTGGGTATATGTGTGTGTGGCAACCTAGGGATAGGTCAGGGAGGAATTTATCTTCTCAGCTGTTTTTAGAATTGCTGGTGACGAATTTCCTTTCTTGCCAAGTATAAGCTATTCACCAAATCAAAGCCAGCATATTCCTGTGTGTATTTATTGCGTACTGTGAAACGGGGAAAGCTGAAAACCAATTCCGAGAAGTCGTTAGGTGCAGCTGTTTGTGAGTACAGCTAGGTGTTGGGCCTCTTCCTCTAATCGTTAGATTATGTGTTTGACCTTTGGGGCTACTATAAATGATGATGCATGGCTGGAACACATGTTTTCTGTGAACAGAAAAGTTAAGTAGTACGTTTCTGTGAAGAATAGTGGGAGCTATTTGTTTTATACTTCTGAGAAGCTGTCCAAGAGCTGTGGCTAAAGTCATGTAGGTTTACTTGACAGGTGTTCATATCCATACCTGGCCATTTAGTCGACAAGAATAGTTCAGGGTAGTCATCATACATGATTAGGTAGACCTTAGCAGCCACGTGCTCTGAGGTCTGTGGAGGTCATATTTTCTCAGAATGGGTATAGGTTGTGGGAAGTGTGCTTCCCAGTACAGCTTTTGGAGGCTTCCTTAGGGCCCCAAGTTCTATGCCATGCCAAGTTCACTTTTGGTTTCTGCTTCTGGAATGCAGTGTCTGTAAGTGTGGAGGTCACAATATGTCCTTGACCCATGGAGCCCTTTTGTCCCTTCCATTTTACTATGACCTTTGGGTGGCTGGTAGAGGAAATTTATTCAGCATCAAACAGAGAAAATCAGTAGTATTCAGTTAAGACAAGTTATTCAGTTATTTTTCCCTGAAAATGAGATAAATTAACATCCAAACCTACTTCCTTATACAGGTACTGTACAGATCCCTTGAGGTAACATTCAAGGGATATCTCCAGTTCTATTGGTTGAAGCCATGAACTCCTGAAATTCAATTTTCTCACCAAACATAAATGTTTATTTCACAATATTTACATGGAGAAGAAAGAACATTTAAAATGAAAAATAAATAAAGGTTGGGAATCGTTGCATTAGATATCAAAGAAAATGTTTCTTCTATGTTTTTCCAATTTAGTTCTTCATGGCCTGGACTTAGAGAGTGAGCACTGTATCTTTGAAAATGTTGGGGGGACTGTGACTCTGATACCCCTGAGTGGGTCTCAGTGCTCTGTGAATGGTGTTCAAGTCATGGAGGACACACATCTAAATCAAGGTACCTGTTTTTGGTTCTCAGAGTTCTTTGTATATGTTGTTGCTAGAAAACAAGGTGACTAGTAATGGGGAAACATGTGCATCATACAATTAATTACCTATCAGATGTAAAAAAGATGAAGACTTTTGCTTCTTTATGTTGTTTTTTTTTTTTTGCTGGAGGATTTCTTCATAATCCCCTTGTCTTGTTGAACTAAACATATGTAGTTGTCTTAAACGTTATTGTTACTATGGAAATAGAACTTTAAAGGAATTTTTAAAGATAAAATAGTACCCATCAAATGCAAAACCTTAGCACAATGGCTTCCTTTAATAATTATGATACCTTATTTATATTCTTTTTATGAATAGTTATACATACAGAACCTGATGTAATCCTTTTTTTCTTTTGAAATGATTTCAGTATTACAGAAAATTTACAAGAATAGTACAAATAACTTTTTTAATTTCAGAGGCACTTGAAAGTAAATTGCTGACTGAATACTTCAGTGTCTATATCCTTTAAACAATGGCATTCTCTTGTGCAATTACAACCGTTCAAATTAGGACCCTACCACTACTGAGACATCAGTGCCACCAGATTCTCAGCCTCCCTTCAAGTTTTGCCCATTATTCTGACAGTGTCTGTTAGGCATCCGACATCCACTCTGCTATCCCACTTTCATGCATTTGATTGCCACACCTCTCTAGTTTCTTTTAGTTTGGAATTGTTCCTTGGCCTTTCCTTGACTTTCCCGACTTTGGCAGTTCTGAAAACTTCAGGTCAGATATGTTGTAGAATGCACCCCCGTACATAAATATAGGGTTTATCTGATGCTTCCTCATTACTACACTAATATTACACATTTTTGACAGGAATATCAGAGAAAGGATGCTGTGTTTTTCTTATGCACACAGTTTCTGTTTATGCCATCACTGAGAATGCCTACTTTGATCATTGGATTAAGGTGGATCATTAAGATCATTCAGGTCATTAAGTTCATTTGCCAGGTTCTTCACTGTGAAGTTGCTGTCTCCCACCTTTTTTATTAATAAGGATATTGGGAAGGTACTTTGAGATCATAAATATTGTATCCTTCATCATACATTCATCCACTCATTTTAGAATCCACTGGGTTTTTCTTTTATTGTTTAATTTAATTATTATTCTGATAGTTGCCAAATGGTGATTTTCTTCCCTTTATATTTATTAGTTGGCTTTTTATTATAGCTTTCTCTTCTTGCCATTTATTTATTTAAATCAACAGAATCACACAGCTTGCTATTTTATTTGGTAGGTTTTGGTTGTTTTCTATCATAATTTACTTTGATGGCCAAACTGTCCTAGCTTTGGCCAGTGGGAATGTCCTTCAAGTTGGTTTCTGTGTCCTTTTGACTTGTCCCCATCATCTGTGAACACTTCTTTAATTTCTGACAGAAAAAGATATTCCAGCCTTGTCTTATAATTTCCTGGAATCAGTTACCAAAGCAGCATTTACTGTTTTGCAATGAGGACAAGGACTTTTGCAGTACAGGATGGAGAGGTTTGCTTTGCCAAGCAGTAGTATTAGTTGTGGTGAGAGCCTGTCTCTGCCCTGGACCCAGAAAGTTACCATAATTGACTTGTAGATAGGATGTCACTCTGTAGGGCTCTTCAGTGGCAGTCCCTGCTTGGGAACACACAGGCTTTAGCACCAAAATGGGTAATTCGAGGGTACATAGTTGACAGATGATCCTACAAGTGAATCATGTAACTGGATCTAGATCACAGCCAGACCACCTATCTGTTCTTTCTTAAGACCTCAGACTGCTGCTGTCCCTCCATGCAGCAGGGGCAAATATAGGGCCGTGGTGGGAGATAAGAGACCAATCTCCTTGTCCAGTAGAGATTGCTGTACTGGCTGCACCTCCCTTAGTTAGGTCAGGGGAGAAGACCTTGTTATGATGATGACTGTATTTATTGTTACCAGATTTTAAAAGAGACTTGTACTGTTTTCAGTATTAATGCATGAGTAAAGTTGTGGAATTCATTTTGAAATATTTAATTGTTTAACACATCTGGGGTTCATTGGTATATAAAGTGTAGGCCTAATTTAATTCCCCCCCACATTGGTATACTATTAATTGTAGCCTTTCCCTACCCTTTTGAAGAAACTTACTTTACCAAAAATGAAAAAACACATTGCACTATATCTATTTCTTGGTCTTCCACTTTGTTCCAGTACTCTGTATTTCTAGTTTTGTTCCTGTATCACATTGTTTTAATGCTTGTTGTATTACATTTTTTTTTTTGTATTACATTTTGCTTTAATTTCTGTTCTTGTCTGAGTGTTTTTTTGCTATTCATGACTGTTAAATGTTTTCAAAGAAATTTTAGCATCACTTTGTTTGGCTAAAATATCCTTTAAGTAATTAGATTCTAATTTCATTTGATTTGTTTGCATTTAAAAAATGTATTTATATATTGGGACCTCTGTTATTCAGTATAACTCTTCTTGCATTTGAATTTTCTATTTCTTCCAACAAAACTTTGAAGGTTTTTAATATACGTACTTACTGAACTGTATTTATTCATGTGTGTAAAATTCTGAATATAGCTGTATTCATTAACTGCTCAAAAACAGGAAGGAAAAAACCCCTTTCATTCAATAATAATCTATTTTGATGATAATATTGCAGTTTTTTCTGAGCACAAAGGGCCTTTAAGGGTATTGCTTTAAAACCCTATGGGGCAAGTGAGATTCAAAGACTTCACTGACTAGACTCTGGGACCTTGAGTCTTGTACATTTTTCTCCCAGATACAAAATGCTACCTGGTGGGTTTGTGGAGCCACACATAGGGAGAGGTTACTTTGGGGCATTCTTTAGGATAAGCAGCGCTTAAACATATAGCCCACAAACCCCAGTATTGGCTGCTGTGTCCCCTGCTTTGTTGCCTGGCCAGCTGTTTCCTCTGTGGGCTTTCCCTGCTCCAGCCATGTTTCTTCAGAGCTTCTGGAGCTTCCATGACCCACAGTCCTGGCCTCTGGGTGCTGAGAAGGCTGAGCAGATCACACTGATACTGCCCTTGCCATGTTATGGGTTACACAGCCTCTTGTAGATTTGTTTGGAAGCTAACTGTTATGTGTAATAACGTTTCTGTGACAAAATCAGTCCTGAGTTCCAAACATACTGAGAAAAGAGCTTTCAGAGCACAAAGTGTTTGATATGGGAATTGTGTACAACTTAATATTGGGGTTTTGTTCTACCCTCTACCCTTACCCCCTGAAAAAAGATGGTTAGCTTATTTATTTAGTTCAGAAAATTGCTTAATATTTGCCTTCCATCTGCTTAGGTAGCTGTGATTATGTCTCTAATTCTCTTGTGAATTGAGGCATGGTAAAGAAAAAATAAATATATCTCCCATGCAATATTTGTATTATTATTTTTTTTAATCTTGAACTTTTACCTAAATTGAAAGTCCATTTTAAAAATATGCCTATTCAGGTTGGTGATGACTGAAACTACATTTTTTATCTTCATTTTGAGAATATGACTTGTCTAAGAAAGTAGTGGTACTAATTGACATTCAAGGTTAATTGTCAGCATTTTCTTTCCCTGTGGGGTACTCTTAATTGTTTTATTACCATGGTACCAGGATTTTCAGATCTGATGAGCTTGAGTCCCTCTTGTGTTCTGCTGCTTTACTGAGAGCTCTCTCAGTATCACTGTTAATGAAATTGACAGAAAAGTGCTATGTTCCAAAGTGTTAAAACACCCTGGCACTGAGTGTAAAACATCATTAGCAAGCCTTCGGGCAGTGAAATGCAAGATGACTTTCTGTTTCAAGGCATTGCATGAGAGAAGTAAGAGTACTTTTTCTTTTTTTTTTAATACGTATACTTAAAAATGGAAAGATCTTATTAAGGAAAAACATGTACAGTTCTTCAGAAATTAAGGGTTAGAATTCTCTACTTAACCTTTCTCAATTTTTGAGGATTATTGAAATGAGAATTGAAACATGTTTTAAAACACAAAATGTAATATATTGTTTGTGGTTATGAAAATATGTAGTGAAAATAAAAAGATGTGTATGTGTACTTGTAGTAGCATTTACCTCTGGAGAAGAGGGAGTTGATCAGGCATGGCTACAAAAGAATTTTCAACTGTATCTGTAAGATTTTATTTTTTAAAGAAAAAAGAGACTAAAGCAAAAAAAAAAAAAAAGGATGTGGACATCATTAAAACCTAGTAATTGGGAAACAGGATCAAACACCTATATTTGTACTCCAAAAACTACCTTGGCTTTTACCCGTGAACAGTTTAAGTAAAGGTATCAAAGACATAACTGCAGCTGGAGGTTAACCCACATCATAATGATCTAACCATATTAACCCCACATTTGACTGGACTCCTGGTTTACCCTGCCCTCCCAGCATCTTCTTATCTCTTCACTCCTGGTTTCTGGTTTATTGCTGATATTTGGTATTTAAATATCTCTTTTCATTAGTAAATCACTTCACTTGGAAATGTGTGAGGCTTTCCCACTGAAAAAGCACATGTAGTAATTGCCACTTCTATATTTAAATCACTTAACACACTTGTGAATGTCAGCTAATAGGAGATATATCTATATTTAAAAAATTGTTACCATTGTGGCAGGGGAATTTTTTACCTGTATTGGTTAACAGGCGTAGTTCTTTCACATTGCATAAACAGTACTTCCCCTGCCTTACATTACAAGAGTTTTCCTCTGGTAATGTCACTAAAATGAAAAGTATTTGCTAGTGCTGTGAGAATTAAATGTGATATATATATATATATATATATATATAATGTCTGTTGCCTAAAGCCTGGCTATGAAGCTTTTCTCCTCTTACTTGAGTTCTTCCAGAAGAGTGTGAGGCATCTAACCATGGCCTTCAATTGCTGTGTTCTCTGAAGCTTAGCTTTCCTCACAACCATAGTTCATAGAATGGTTCCATAGCAAGAGGAGATGGTTGCTACAGAAAGAAAGCATGAATTTGACCACATATGTAGTCC